GCTCCTCCCCCGCCGCGGCCCCCCCCCCCGGGGGGCGGGAGCCGCTGCTGGAGCCCAAGTTCCACCTGGTGCCGCCCGTCAGTGTGCCCCGCTACCAGAGATTCCCGCTGGGTGACGGACAGTCCCTTCTCCTGGGTAGGTCCTCAGGGGTGCGGGAGAGCATGTTGAGCCGGGGGCTGGGCCCCAGCCAGGTGGCACCCCAGGACTACCCTCTCTGGTCTAACCTTCTAAGCTGTCAGCCAGAGGGTGACACATCTGAGCAGAGTGTGTGCTCTGGAGGAGAGGGGAACAGGGAAGCGCTAACTCCTCTGCCTTCAGAGCAACTCACCTGTGCCAAGCACCTGCTCTGGGCGAGACATCTTGGGGCTCAGAGTCCTAGGCCCTCTACCCTAATAATATCCTGGCCAAGTGCCTGTGGGAGGAGCCAGGGTTAACACTTGAGCTGTTGAACCAGAAGGCCAGTCCAGGGCCTATGGTATTTCCAAGGCCCAATCTGGACTCCGGAAACCAGAGCAGAAAGCATGGCATCTTGATGGGCTTCATGGAAAAGGCGGCCTTCAACCCGGGCCTGGACGAGGGAGGTGCATCTGGATAGAGAAGAGCCAGAGGATGGGGACTGGGCAGGTCTCCTGGGCAGAGGAAACAGCAGGAGCAAGGGAAGATGTGTTGGGAAGGATCCGTGGTCCCCAGGGCTCAAGGGGGGTGAGCCAGCCTGGCCTGTAACTGTCAAGGCCTCGGAAGTCACTCCAGGCCCCACTTAAGGATACCTGGCCTCTCCCGGGACTGGCCCCATTGCCTAGGGGTTAAAAGAGCTGGATCTCACGTGGCCAGCTACGGGTCAAATCTGGGCCCCAGGGCTCAGAGAACAGGCCTGGTGCATGTGGGTACATGCGTGCCCCCAATCTGGGCAGGGTGGAGCAATGGAGGAGAAGGGATCGTGGCAGGAGCATGTCCCATTGGGGTGGGGATGCTTTCTCTCTCTCTGTCTCTAGTGACTGCACATAACCCTCTGGCAATTAAGAAAAAAAAATAGTCCATTCTCTCCCACCTCCTATTTTCTTAAAATGTTAATTCAATTGATATTTATTTAAAAACATTTTGCTGTAGGGCATGTGTACTTGCTGGAGAGAGACAGAGAGAGAGAGAGAAAATGAGAAAGCAACCCCCAGGAGGATTCCATGCTGCAATCCCCGCTTCTTCATTCTCCTCCTGGGATTTTGGACATGCGCCCATTGTGTTTCTCAAGCCACCGGATCCAGGATTTGAACCATATAGTTGGCCATGTGGAATCCATTCGCTTTCACCTCCATGCCACTGGTTGGCCTCCTGACCCCCTATTTTAATAGGGACTTAATTGCCAAAGCCCTGCTTTTCAGGAGCTCCAATAAGTGAGCAAGACTCTAAAATCTCCCTCCCCTGTCCCCAAATGTGTCTTGTCTGGTACGGGATCCCCTTATCCCAGAGGTCACCTAGCTCCCAGGCTGGAGTCCCCATTCACTCCCAGACTTGACCACAATCCTCCGGCTCAGGGAGGAGTTGGTAAGAGGGGACGTATTTATGCCTCATCCTGCAACCTCAGCTGTGCTTTCGGGGCCACCTCCCAGAGGCTCCCTTGGAAGCGCTATTGGGGTAGGGGTGATGGCGGGACTTGTGCCTACATAACTCACAACTTGGAGAGCGTGAGACCCTCTAGTCACTACGGCACAGGATGCCCCTTGGGCCCAGGGGAGAGGTGAGGCTGCCCGCTGGGCAGGTGAGTGAGCAGAGCCGCAGCTGACTCCTCGTACCCAGCCTCCCCACCAGGCTGCGGGGGCAGACAGCCCTGCTGGAGACACCAACTGCTCACCAACCTGGAAATTCCCCTGCAGCCGATGCCCTGCACACCCACAGCTCCCTCTTTCTGGAGGGCAGCTCGCGGGGCAGCCCACCGCCTCTGGACACCTCTGCCTCGCCCCCCCAGCGCCCAGGACGGAGGATGAGCGAGGGCAGCTCCCACAGCGAGAGCTCCGAGTCCTCAGACAGCCTGGCACCCGTGGGCGCCTCCCGCAGTGAGTGAGGTCCTTTTGGGGCCCTGCCTGGATTCCAGGGAGAGGGACCTTCTTCCTGGGAGTTCCTGGCCCACTGCCAGGGCTGCAGAGGGCAGGCGGGGAGGAGCCATAAAGGAAATCTTAAGGGCATCCCTGCCTTTGGGGAGCTGCCGGTCTTTGGTGGACACCTGGCTTTACCAGTTCTCACCCTGGCCCCAGACTGAGCTCTGACCTTGGCGATAACCTTGACCTCTGACTCTGCACAGAGCCCTGCACTCTGACCCTGGCCCAAGATTGATCTTGAATAGAGCCCTGATGGCTGGCCTAGGACTGAGCTTTGACCACAAGCAGAGTCCTGACCTCTGACCCTGCCTGGGCTCTGACCTCTGACTGAGGCCCTGACCTCTCCGGGCATAGTCTGAGCCCTGGCCTCAGCCCACTGAGAACCGCTGTTGACCAGCAGCCCTGGGGTGGGACTGTGGACGCCTCCGTGGGTCTGGCCCTTGTCTCAGGAAAAGGGAGGATAGGTGAAGGGGTGGGTGGGCTGTGCGAAGGTTCCCAGGGTAACTTGGAGCAGGGGGCTCTGGCCCAGACTTGTGCTCCACGTGGCACGTCCACCACTGGGTCTGCAACTGGGGTCCCTTGCCACCCCTGGGTCCGGGCTCCGGGCAGCCCATTGTGTCCTCACCGCCTTCTCGGATCACAGTCACGGCCAAGTGGTGGGGTGCCAAGCGGATCGACTACGCCCTGTACTGCCCCGATGTCCTCACAGCCTTCCCCACGGTGGCCCTGCCCCACCTCTTCCACGCCAGCTACTGGGAGTCCACCGACGTGGTCGCCTTCATCCTGCGACAGGTACTGGTGCCCTGCCGGGCTCTGCCCACAGCCCCTGGAGAACAGCATTCTCTCCTGTCTGGGAACGGGCTTACCCTGAGGGTCACATGGGACATTGATGTACATCCTGAGAGCCCAGAAAGGCCCAGGGCACCCTGACCAGTGGGCGGTGACGGGGTCAGAGACTGGGCTTTATAGGGAACAATGGCAGCTGCCGTCTCTAACGGTATGGTACTTTCTAGAAGATTTAATAGAAATACACGGGGGAAATGTCTCAACATGGAGGTGGAGTAAATTCCTCCTCCCTCTGCGTCTCCATGTCTTTCTGGAGGGGAAGCAGAAAGGCCAGGGCAGAGGGAGAGCCTGGGGGTCAGCGTGGGCGCAGCTGGTGGCCAAGCCGTGTGCGATGTCGTCCTGGGTTTGGTGAGAAGTCACCGAAGGTGGTGAGCAAGGAGCTATCGGGGGTTTCTATGTTTAGAAGCAGGCCCTGGGGCTGCTATTGGGGTGCAGGAGAGGAGCTGCGAGGCCCCTCGTGAGGCGTGTGTAGGAGCCCAACTTGGAGGTGGCTGCTTGGAGCAGGCCACGGGGGGCGGGGTGTGAGGAGTGGTGAGGGCTGATGTTGGGCTGTGAGGGGGAGAGGGGGCCCAGTGAACCCAGGTTTTCCACAGAACTAGTCCTGGGATTGGGCAGAGCAGGGCCGATCGGGCGGGGCTGGGAGGAGAAACAGGTCTCGGTTTGAGGACAGTGAAGTGTGAGATGCTTGTGAGGACCCGGGAGGAGGCGTGTGCTTAGAGAAGACGTCGGGGTGAGAGACAGAGCTGTGGGAGTCACTGAGACTTAGACAGCATCGAACCCTGGTGGCAGGGAGGGCGTCACTGTGGATGGAGAGGTTCAGGGGTGGGTCCCGGAGCTCCCTGAGTAGTCAAGGAGGAAGGGATACCCTTCGAGGTTGGAGGAGAACCCAGAGAGGGTAGACCGGGGTGGAACTCCGAGGCGGGCAGGAGGAAGTCACTGGGGCCATGGTAAGAATGGCTTCGCTGTGGTGACGGGGACAGAAGTCTGACTGGGGTGGGCCGAGGACAGGAGGCAGGTGAGGAAGAGACACAGCACAGACCCAGTGTTCATGGGGAGGGCAGAGACGGGAGACCTGGAGAGGCACGGGGCACTCGAGAGTCGTCACTGCGGTGCAGCGGGTGGTGTGACAGTGCGCTCTGAACCCAGGAGAGCGATCCAGCGGGGAGTCCCTCAGCGATGCAGGCTGAGCGAGGAGCACTGTGAGGCGATGTCCTCGAGAAGCGGGGCAGGGCTGGGACCAGGGCTCCAGGTAGCCTTGGGTCACTGTCACCTGTCATAACAGGAGCGGGGGCAGAGAATGGGTACAGAGGACAGCCAGGTTTGGAGCCATGGAGGACAGTGCTGCTCCCAGGAACAGAGCCATGCCAGAGACAGTGTTCTGGCCCCAAGAAGGCGGGGAGATGTGGTCTGGGGCCTCCGGCCTCCTGAGGGCTCCAGACTGGGAGATGGGGAGGCCAGGGAGGGCCGGGTGGACCCTGGGAGGGGACAGAGGAGCAAGGAGGCCTGCCCTGGAGCCCCACTCACCGCTCGGCTGTTGGTCAGGTGATGCGCTACGAGAGTGTGAACGTCAAGGAGAGCGCTGGCCTGGACCCTGCAGCACTGAGCCCTGCCAATCCCCGTGAGAAGTGGCTCCGAAAGAGGACCCAGGTCAAGTTGCGGGTATGTGCATGCTGGGGTTGCCTACCAGCTGGGATGGGAGCCCCAGGGCAGGGGGACTGCCCTGGGGGTTCTGCTTTGCCTCCGGGAGCTTGCTGCTCGCAGACAGGGACTCACTCTTAGATGAGGCTCTGGGCATTGCAGCCGGGAGGGTGTGTGTGCCAGTTGGCTCTCCAAGGTCTGGTGCCATAGGAGTCCCAAGGGTGAGGGTCCAGGGCATTGAGGATGATAAGGAGAGTCCAGTTACAGAGCCATTGCTATATGCCAGACTTGGCTTTAGTAGCTATGGGCTTGATTCAGAAAGAGTCCAGCCCATAACCACAAGGCTCTGTCTGACTTACCATTAGTACAAACTGGCATGATATTCGCCATGACAGAGGGAGGTGCAGATTAGGACAAAGAGGGAAAGGGGGTTTGTTAGGGCATGTCATGCAGGGCTTCCCTGAGGAAGAGGCTTTCCTGTAGGGTACTGAAGGATGAATAGGAGTTTGGAATGCATACAGCCATGTATTTACTCAGCAAACTACCCTCAGTATAGACTGTCTCAGTCCCTCCACCAGGAGGAAGGGTGTAGAGATATACAGACCCAGACATCGCTATGGGGGCACCTCCAGTCTGACAGAAGCTTAGACATGGACCCCGGGAACAGTCTTAAACGGTAGAATGTGATTAGTGGTTCATGAAGCAACTGTTCTTTTGTAAACACATTTGTTAAGATTCCAGTCACACCTCATATAATTCACCCATTTAAAACGCATAATTTAACCAGCACCAGTAGTTTTAGAACATTTTTATCATTCCCCAAAGAGATCCCTTACTCTTCAGCTATTCTGTCATCTCCCTACCTCAATCCCTTCCCTCAAATCCCACCCTGAGTGATCAGTAATCTTTCTGCCTCTGTAGATTTGCTTAATTTAGGCATTTTATATAAATGAAGTCATACAATAGAATATGTGCTCTTTTGTGAATGACTTCGTTCAATGAGCATAATGTTTTCAGGGTTTATCTTAGTCATTTCCTTGCTAACAGAAATACCTGAGACTGGGTAATTTATAAAGACATAGGGGATTGTAAGCTCACAGTTCTGGCAAGGCTGAAGGCATAAGCTACGCATCAGGTTGACCTATGACCTGAGCATGGCTGGCAGAGCACAGAGGATGGCAGACACGGGCAGAGAAAGTGCTGGGGGCAGGTCTCTCCTTGATAGCCCGCAAATCCTGAGTATGAACCCCTTTTCTCAGAAGTTAGAACTCACTGCGTCTCTCAAGACATCATTAATCTATTCATGAGAGTGCTGCCTCCATGATGCAATCACTGTGAGCCTTTAGACCTTACCTCCTGCCAACATCAAATTCCTACAGCATGAAACTTTGGGGAACAAACCATTATCCAAACCATAACAAGGTTCATTTATGTTGGAAGGTGTATTAGTATTTTTCTTTCTCCCTTCCTTTGTTTCTTTCTTTTGTTTTTATTTTGTTACATAGTGCGTGTGCTTGTGGGAAAGAGACAGAGAGAGAGAGAGAGAGAGAGAGAGAGAGAGATAAGAAAGAGATAAATCGTGTGTGGGGGTGATGGCCATGCCATCATCCCCTCTCTACTCTCCTCTCAGAATGTTGGGTGCACACACACTTGTATCCAGTGTGTTTTTCAAGTTGAGTACGAGACTCAAACCATGCCATTGGCCATGTGGGATCCAGCAGCCTTAGTCTCCACACCACCTGCTGGTCCCAATATTTCATTCCTTTTTATGGCTAAATAATAGTCCATTGTATTGATACACCACATTTTGTTTTTCTATTCATCCATTGATTTGGGGTGTTTCCACTTTTTGTTTATTATGAATATTCATGTGAGTTCTTTTAAAAAAAATTGCTAGAAAACTACACTTGGTGTGTTGTGATGATACTCAGGGAATGAGTGTTAGGCAATATAATTTAATATAAAAAAATAATAAGCAGGAGGAA